ATTCAGATATGTTATTATATAAAGTTTGATGCTACAAATTTATTAAATAATATTCGAATTGCTTTAATGTTCTTAATCTTATTTTATATTGTTTTAAACAATTTTTTAATTCTCTAATGGAGTCAATGTTCAGGTATTTTTTTTTGTGGGTTTTAACCATTTTGACATTGCTTTAGGCATTCTAGTTTGATGTGCCAACGACTTCATGCTGGATTTCTAGACTTTTAATAATAAATTGGGATCTAACCTGCGTGCGTCCGTGCAGGTAATTTAAAAAACAAAATTAATTTAAGAAAATGTTGGTTTCGTAAATACAATTTTAAAATGTGATTTTATGGTTCTACAACATTTGAGTCAAAATAGTTAATCTACAAATAATGCTAAGATGTAATAAAATATGTATATGAAAAAATATATTATCTCTTATGTAAACTTATGCTTAATACAACTCTGTATATTAAGCAACACTCTTACATATTAAGCATGTGTTTACGTTGCGTAGAGTAAATATTTGTAAGATTAAAATTTATGTTATAAATAACAGTTTTGGATTTTAACTATTAGAATTTAAAGTTTGAATGGTTAATTATATATTTTTTGTTAATCGTACTCATGTTTAAAAAATATATATAATAAAAGTGTATTTGATTTTTAATAAAAAGATAAAATATAAATGTTTTTTCTTTTTCTTTATCCTTTTCATTATTATTCTTTTTTTGTTGTTCTTCTTCTTTTTCTAAGTTTTTATTATTGTTCTTCTTCTTTTTCTCTTCTTCATCTTCTTCTTATTGTTCTCCATTTTTCTTTTATGCTTTTCTTCTATGTTATTCTTCTCCCTTCTTCTTTCTTTTCATATTTTTATTGATTTTTTTTCTTTGTTCCTTTTCTTTTTCTCCATTTTTCTTCTCTGTAACTGGAAAAAATCGATCAGGATATATGAATTTAATTTTCTGGATACATGAACTGTAATTGAGGAAGTCCAATCGCATAAAAGAAACATAGTAGATATTGACATACAGCCCATACCTAACATATTTTAAGTCTCTTAGGAAAAATAAAATTTAGAACCTAAAAGTATTATTTTTTAATTTTTTGGCATTTTCTATATCTTTTTTTGATAAATTTCGAATTAAAAAAAAATAAGATAGTTCTAATTTTTTTTTAAAAAATTGGCCTTTTAATAAGAAGAAAAACAAAATATTAGGCCTCTAATGAGAATAGTAACAAAAAATTAGGCCTTTAATGATTTAATGAAAATAATAGATTTAACAAACTTTTATATATCTAATGAAAGTCCAATGACATGTATTAGGTAAATAACACAATAACTAAAAGTTTTTCTTTCAATTGAAATTCTCTATTAATATAATAGATGTTCATTTTGTTTCAGGATATGCACTAGTTATTGTAGCATCTTAGTCTTAATCCTCTTTTTTCTATTATTTTTATTTTATTATTCATTTTGAAAAGAAAAAAATATGTTTCAATATTAATTTATATATATTCAGATATGCTGTTATATAAAGTTTGATGCTACTAATTTATTAACTAATATTCGAATTGCTTCAATGTTATTAATCTTATTTTATATTGTTTTAAATAATTTTTTAATTCGTTAATGGAATCAATGTTCTGGTATTTTTTTTTTTTAAGGTTTTAACCATTTTGACATTGCTTTAAGCATTCTAGTTTGATATGCCAACGACTCCATGCTGGATTTCTAGACTTTTAAGAATAAACTAGGACGCACAGGTAATATTTTTTTAAAAATTTAATTTTAGAAACTGTTGGTTTCATAAATACAACTTTAAAATGTGATTTTATAGTTCTACAACATTTGAGCCAAAATAGTTAATCTACAAATAATGCTAAGATATTATAAAATATGTATATGAAAAAATATATTCACTCTTATGTAAACTTATGCTTAATACAATTCTGTATATTAAGCAACACTCTTACATATTAAGCATGTGTTTATGTATGCGCAGAGTAAATATTTGTAAGATTTAAATTTATGTTTAAATAATATTTTGAATTTTAACTATTAAAGCTTAAAATTTGAATGGTTAATTGTATATGTTTTGTTAATCGTACTCATGTTTTTAAAAAATATATAATAAAAGTGTATTTGATTTTTAATAAGAAGATAATATATTAATATTTTTTTTGTGTCTTTATCTTTTTCATTATATATATTTTTTTGTTTTCCTTCCTCTTTTTCTAAGTTTTTATTATTGTTCTTCTTCATCTTCTTCTTATTGGAGAAAATTACATTTTAAGGCATTTCTACAGACTTGAATTACAAATTAAGGCATTTAGAAGGGAAGATGCACTTTCATCATGTTAAATGACCATATTATCCTTTTCATACAAGATCAAATGTCCAGAACCGCTAGACCATGTGGATGAAGCTTTGTGGATAACTATAACACTTTGTCATGAATCTTCGTGGATAAATTTTTGTGGACAACTTCAAACGTTCACTGGACTGGTTTGAGATCGATGAAGCTCATGCTCACGTGGATGATCATTCATGGACAACCAAACATGTGTTTTTTAAATTTGTCTATCTATTTTGCATGTTTTTCGTTGATGAACCTTCCTGGATAGCTAAATATGATTTTGTATATCTATTTTGCACATCTTTTGTGGGTGAACTCTGTGAAATTTGTATACTATAACAAATGGCTAAATATTCTGACCACGTGGATGAACATATGTGGACAACTTCATACGTTCATTGGACTGGTTTGAGATCGATAAAGCTCATGCTCACATAGATGACCCTTCATGGACAGCCAAACATGTATTGTTTGAATTTGTCTATCCATTTCGCATGTCTTTCGTGGACGAACCTTCGTGGACAACTAAGTATGATTTTGTATATCCATTTTGCATATCATTTGTGGATGAACTTTGTGAAACTTGTATATTATAACAAATAACTAAGATATTCTGACCACGTGGATGAACATATGTGGACAACTATAAATAAAGAAAAAGGGCAAAACTGGATTAATGTATTATCAATAGTGGACAAAGTGCCTTTTCTCCACAAAGTGTCTTTTTTTGTAACCAAAACTCACAAAAAGTTTTTTTTTTATGTAAATCTCTCCTTATTGTTCTCCATTTTTCTGTTATGCTTTTCTTCTAAGTTATTCTTCTCCCTTCTTCTTCTTTTCTTATTTTTATTGACTTTTTCTATTTTTTTTCTTTGTTCTTTTTCTTTTTTCCCATTCTTTTTCTCTGTAACAGAAAAAATCGATCAGGATATATGAATCTAATTTTCTAGGTATATGAATAGTAATTGAGGAAGTCCAATCGCATAAAAAGAACATAATGAGTATTGACATACAACCTCGACCTAACATATATTTTAAGTTTTTTGGGCAAAATAAAATTTAGACCCTAAAAATATATATATATTTTTTTATTTTTTGGCATTTTCTATATTTTTTTGATAAATTTCGAATAAAAAGTAAAAAATAAGATAGTTCTAAATTTTTAAAGAAAATCGGGCCTTTTAATAAGAAGGAAAACAAAATATTAGGTCTCTAATGAGAAGAGTAATAAAAATTAAGCCTTTAATAATTTAATGAAAAGAATAGATTTAATAAATTTTTATATATCTAATGAAAGATTAATGATATATTAGGTAAATAACACAATAACTAAAGTTATTCTTTCAATTAGAATTCTCTTTTAATATAATAGATGAGCATGAAATTAATTATTGGGCCAGAAATTACAATTCAAACGAAAAATTTGGAAACAAAATTTCTCAAATCATTGATCTAAAGTGTTTTTTTGAGATTTTTTTTTCTTTTGGAATTTTTAATGAGAAATTAGGTCGTATGACCATATAAACAATCTAAATTCATCAAATAACCATAATAAACATATGCTATGATATTCTCTGTATATTTTACAATATATACAAAAATACCCCTTCTCTTTGATCCTCTTCTCCTCCCTTCTTCTCATCGCCCCATTCCTTTCACTATCTTCACTTTCACCTGCTCTTCTCTTTCTCCTCTTCCCCTCCCATCATCTCCTCTTCTCTTCTGTCTTCTTCTTTTTATTTTTCTCTTTACAACCAACTTTTTTTATTAATACTATATCAAACGATTACTATTCTATAAAATTAATATATAGTATAATACAAAATATAATATAGTATAAGGTTATATTCGACAATTGATTGTGGTATATAGTTAGTTTACAAATTATTCAAATAATATAGCTATATTCTTGTATTTATTTGTTATTATGGTTATATAGCAAAATAACCCTTTTTTAATTGAAAAACCCAGTATTAAAACTGAAAAAGGAAAACTTCAATTAAAAATAGAGATATCGGCCTCCAAACTCCAAAGTGTTTTTTTCGTGTGTAATTTTTGTCTATGTCTCAGATTCCATCCTGAAGCAAAAAGCTTTTCAATCTCCCTCGTCTCCTCTGGCATCGTAAGTTTCTCCAAAAGCTTTCTCTTCTTGAATTACCCTTGTGTTCGACTTAAAAAGATCATCTTTGATTCTTGGGTTTTCGTTCTTCATAGATTCGAACGCTTCTATTGTTTAATTGCAAAGGAAAAAAAATTCGATCTTTCGACCCTAAATCCTAATCGAGTTGTAATTGAAGCTGTAATTGATTGGATATGGATTCTCCTAGAGATTGGATCAGCAGTTTGCCAGATGAGATTCTGGGCAAGATCATGTCTTTACTTCCGACAAAAGTGGCTGCTTCCACATCAGTTCTGTCCAAGAGGTGGAGGAATCTGCTGGTTCTTATAGACACCCTTTGCTTTGATGACTCAATGGTTTCGTATCCCAACGAAGTAGAAGCAACAAGTGGTTCACACCGCTTCTTAGATTTCGTAGACAAGACATTGGCTCTGCTAAGCAACTCTCCCACCATGAACAGGTTCTGTCTGCGTCTTGCACATAGATCTGTCCGTGATGCACGTTACGAGTTTGTTAACCGTTGGGTTTCGACTGCAATGGGACGCGGTTTATTGGAACTACACTTGCACGCCTCCCCCATTGCTGGTGTTGAGTTGGTAACAGAGTTGTTAACGAGTAACACACTGGTTAAGCTCACAATATCTGGTTATTATGATCTCCAGGTCGGGCGTGTGTTTCTCCCGGCGCTCAAATCACTTTCTCTATTGTCAGTTTATATGATTGATCATCCCAACTATAGTCGGCTCGTCGACGGCTGCCCTGTGCTGGAAGATTTATTCATACGTGATGATGGAGAACCAGGTTGCGGTGCGTTCATAGAAAGTGCATCCATCAAGCGACTTGTGGTTTTCACCAGATGCCGTCCCGTCGATAGAGACATGGCTCACGATCTGATTTGTTTTGAAGCACCAAGCCTTGTCTACCTTGACTATTCTAGTTATGTCTCCGAGAGTTATGAGTTTATTGATTTGGATTTGCTTGTCGATGTCAGGCTGAGTCTCAAGTTATGGGAGTCAACTAACGATATTGATTATTCTGATGATGATGATGATGATGATGATGATGATGACGCTGAGGATGATGATGATGATGATAATTTAAAATCTTTTTATGGTAAACAAAAGCCGCTTATATTTGGTGATGTTACAAAGCTAGTTGAGGGTATAAGCAACATTACGACCCTTCACTTGTCTCCCAATTCCCTCGAGGGCAGATTTTTTTCCGCTACTTGTTCTTCTTCTTCTTGTTGTAATTGAGCTAGCTATACCAAGGTCTCTTCTCTCACTTGTTTTGGTTGTGTTCATACATATAAATTTAGGCGTTTCATTTCTGCTGTAAATCCATGCCGGTGTTCAACAACCTCCTTAGTTTATCTATCGAGAGCCACGAGGAAAAAGGTTGGCAAGTAATGCCACTTCTGCTCAAGAGTTGTCCAAATCTACACACTTTAACCATCAAGGTATTATTATCAGTTTCCTTTTTCTGAGATTCTCTTATGTTGTTTGTGGTGCCCAATATTATTATACATGTCAAACTTTGGGCTTGTGGTTTCAGGGTCTTATGCACAGAGTAACAAACAGATGCGGAGATGCATGCGCTTGCAGCCCTAAGAAGAAGAAGCATGAGAATAAGAAGAGGAAAATTGTAAAGGAGGAGGAGGAGATGTTATCTTGTTTATGGACATGTCAAGTGAAGGTGCTTGGGATTTCAGAGTATGGAGGTTCTTTTCAAGAGCTGAAACAGATGAGACATTTCTTGGGCAAGTTGGGAATGTCTTGAAACTGTGAAAGTTGGTTTTGTCGCGGACAACAACAGCAATAATAGTGAGTTGTTGCGAGCTAATCTGCTCGCTCTCCCCCGAGTTTCACCAATGTGCAACCTCCAGTTCATCTGACTTTTGTCTATCTTTCTCGATTTTGATGTTGGATTGTGAATGTAACTTAACATTTATATAAATGATTGTATCATCAAAATAAGTATTTAAAAGTTGTTCACAATCTGTTTATTAAGATGCCAAATATGTATGCGTTGCTCTTTCTGGTACTAGGCAAGTTCTTGCAAGGATCCTCTTTAGTGTTTTTATTTTTAGGATATAACTTGCACGATTGAATTATCTGCATGGGAAAACGGCCAAATTCTCACAAGTTCTTGACGATTCATATATAAGTTATTAATCAATGCTAATAACTACATGAACTATCTAAATTTTTGAAAATACTACATGAACTTAATAAGTATGGTCGATTCAACCAAATTGCATATAACGTTATTTATAGCATTAGCGATTGCTGAGTAGGATGACACATGTGGAAAAATGGTCGATTCTCCTATAAACTTTCAAATATTTGATGATTCATATATGAGCTATGAACAATGCTAATAACTACATGAACTATTTAAAATTTTGAAAATACTATATGAACTAAAGATATATGGTCGAATATTTTCAACAATGTAAATTTCATCCAATAATGTCATAAAAAATGAATTTTAGAAGACAAATCAAATAACATTTATAAACTTAAAACACTAATATAATTTTATTTAACTATATTACATTATTTATATATGCTTAAATATATAATTATTAATTTATGTAATTAGTAGGACCATAATTTTACATAAGAATTCTACAAAAATTATTTTTTATTATCTTATCAAAATTTGTTAATTTGTTCCTGAACCTACTTAGGACCAACAAAATTTATTGATTTTTAGTGATTTTCAATTTATCAAGTATTACTTTATAAAGATTCTACTGTATAACATTAATTGCAGCGTTAACGATTGCTAATTAGGATGACGCATAAAAATTCAAAACATCGTTTTAGGATGACATTGTATCTATGTCCTATCAAACACTCAATGATGCATTTTGGGTGTTTTAGATTCAGTTTGCTAAAACTATGTTTCGAATTGAACACTAAGAATTTGAACTGAAAAATATACCTATAAATTAATAAGTAATAATTTATTGATTAATTAATAAATTTATAAATTAATAAAATTTTAAAATCTCAACATTATGAATTTATAAATGTTTTTTTGTATGTGATTTTGGTGGAATCGACCATATATATCTTTAGTTCATATTGTATTCAAAATTTTAAATAGTTAATATAGTTATTAGCACTGATCCATAGATCATATATGAATCATCATAAATTTGAAAGTTTATATGGAATCAGCCATTTTCCCAGACCACGTGTCGTCCTAGTCAGCAATCGCTAACGCTATAAATAATGTTATATGCGATTTTGGTGGAATCGACCATATTTCTTTAATTCATGTAGTATTTTCAAAATTTTAGATAGCTCATGTAGTTATTAGCATACATAGGTCATATATGAATCGTCAGAAACTTGTTAGTTTATAGGGGAATTTGCCGTTTTCCCTATATGCGTGATACATTTCAGATAAAGGAAGACGATTACTTAACTTTTGGTGCCTTGGTGATGTGGGATCGAAGGGGGATCCGATCGTACAAGGAAAGGTGAATCTCCAACTGGTCGTACAGCTCTCTTTGAAAGCTCGATAGTAATGAGAACAAATATGTATGGATCTGAGATAAGTCTGACACTCCAGTTCACAAGGCTTCGCACACAAGTGAGATAGAGATCAAAGGGATTTTCTTGCTTTAGCTAAGAAAGATTTGATTTGCTGAATAATACTTGTTATTGATAATGAAATGAAAAGAGAGCTTTATAGGCTCATTACAAGCGGTAAAATGAAAGCAATAAATGGAAAACATAAGCAATATTGCATTTGAAATCAAAGCAAATAAAAATTAAGTAACCGTTGCTCTTGATTTGTTGCGTCTTCTCCAAATAAGGTAAGTCTTCTTTGAATGTCTTGATTGGTCTTAAATGAATGATTGGATGAGATAGCTTGTAATCTTCATACACAGAGTCTTGTAGAGCATTCTAAGGAATTAGAATCTCTGGCCCTCCTTTAAGCTCCTTAGTAATGACAAATAATGTCATATATATCTCTAATGCTTTGTAAAACTGGCGAAAATAAGGTTGATTTAGTCTTGGTTTGCAAGTAAACATCTTTGCATGACTTCATGTAGACTGTGGCTTCTTGACTGGCATTAATGGTGTTTTGATGATTGTCTCTCAAGTCTTGAAGCTCCAAAACGTTCAAATACTCTTACCGGATTGATTGGTGTTCTTCGTCTTATCTCCTTGGCAAGTGTATTCTCATTAAGCTCTTCTTGTTCAATAAGAGTTATTAAGCTCTCTACTGAATTATTGAACTCTTCCCTTAGACTTTTTTTGTTTATGATCGAGTCCTTGGTGCTTGCCTCATTACCTGTACAACAGCCTCCCAATCAGCTCCAGTTAAGCTAGATCCGATATCCTCTTCATTCCCTCTCCGTTGGAAAGGTTCTGAACTCAGAACTGGTACATATGCATTAAAAGGGACTAAGTCAGAAATTTTGAATGTGTGAGAAATGGTTAACTCACCTGGAAATTCAAGCTTGTAAGCATTGTTGTTGATCTTCTCAGGCACTCGAAATGGGCCATTTCCTCTTGGTGCTAGCTTAGACTTTCTCTGATTTGGAAATCTTTCTTGTCTCATATGTAACCAGACCCAATCGCCGGGTTCAAAGGTGATCTCCTTGCGGTTTTTGCCAGCTTGTTGCTTATACTTTTCTGTATTTTTCTCCAAGTTGTTCTTGACTCGTTGGTGAAGCTTTTTTTACAGATTTAGCTTTTGTTTCTCCTGCACTAGAATAAACAGCTGGGGATAGGGGTGAGAGATCTAAAGGTGTTTCATGATTAAATCCATTGACAACTTCAAATGGTGAAAGATTTGTGGCTGAATTTTTAACATGGTTATAAGCAAACTCATTGTATGGAATGCAATTTAACCAATTCTTAAGATTCTTACCAACTATTGCTCTCAATAGAGTAGAGAGTGTGTGGTTTACTACTTCCATCTGGCTATCTGTTTGTAGGTGGCAAGTAGTTGAAAAAAACAGATTTGTCCCTAACTTTCTCCATAAAGTCTTCAAAAAATGGTTTAAAAACTTGGTATCACGGTCAGATATAATGGTTTTAGGGATTCCATGTAGTCTTACAACCTCCTTAAAAAAATTAGCTGTTTGAGTAGCATCATTTGTCTAGTTGCATGGAATAAAATGGGCCATTTTAGAGAATCTATCAACAATTACAAAGATAGAGCATTTGTTGTTGATTTGGACAAACAGAAAACAAAATCCAGAAATATATCTACCTAAAGGTGGTAGGGAATAGCGTAAAGATGTAATTTGGATTTGGATTTTGAACAGGTTATACACTTAGCACAGAACAGCTTCACATCTCTCTTTTGATGTGACCAATAGAATTGCTCTTGAAAAACACTTAGGGGATGTTATTGGTTTGGGTGTTTAGAAAGAGTTATAAGAATTTAGATTTTAAAAAGATTATGGTGTTATTCAGATTTAAAAATATAGTGTTATTAGTTTATGATTTTGTAATAAGTAATTTAAAATCTTTAAAAGTCTGGTGTTCATGAATTTATAAAATTAATAACAGTCTTGTGTTATTAAAAAAACTTGAAATACTCTTATTTTATCATTATTATAAAATCTGATGTTATTGGTTTATTGATTACACACATTTTCTTAATAAAATTTAGTTACTAAAGTATTGTATGTTGATCAAGTATTCTCAAAAAAATTTCTATAATTAAAAAAACAATTGAAAAATAGATATGCATACAAAAAACACAAACATTACGTTAACATAATATGAACACATAAACTATGTTAACGTGAGCTGAACACAAACTCTAGAATCTCTGGACTATGACACAAGGACAAAAACAAAAAAATATCTTAATGATTCATCTTATTAAAGTTAGAAGTTCAATGCAGAAAAACAACCAACAAAGAAACGATGATCAAACAAAATTATTGTCTTATAAATTGTAAAAAAAAGAAAACCAAACCACAACCAAACAAAAAGATAATATATGAACGCATAAACATAAATTGAAAGACAAAAAAATGGTGAATCTAGTATATACCTTAAGTTTTGAAACAATGGTGAATAACATGAAAACTTTGAAATAATTTAAAGAAGATGAAAAGTAAAAATAAAAAGAAAATGGTAGATAATAACAAATATAAACAAAAATATTATGCAATACTTAAAGATAAACTCTACAAAATTTTCTGATTATCTTCTAGTTAAAAAATCTATGATAATATACAATATTCTATATAAATTCTAAAGTTAATCTGAAA